GTTAGGTGATACCAAGGGATGGATGTAATTCCGTGACATTTTGTCAGGCTGTTAAAGAGTAAATTTTCCTTGGCTGTGGCAGGAGGTAATTATTTTTGTTTGTTTGCTTCTGACACAGGGGAAGAAAATTTGGGGTTTTACTTCCACGATTCCAAGATACTTTTTGTTCTTTTTGGCAGGAAGGGAAAAATGCATTTTACTACTGAAAGAAGGACCAGGCTCTGATTTCCCCTGCAGACTTGATGTACTTTTTAGCCCTGTGAATATTTTTTAAGTTTGTTTATTTATTGGGGGGAAGGGGGCAGAGGGAGGGGCAGAGAGAGAGAGAAAGAGAATCTCAGGCAGGCTCCCGAGTTGTCAGCACAGAGCCCGACACAGGGCTCGATCTCCCAACCCCGTGATCTTGACCTGAGCCGAAACCAAGAGTCGAACACTTAACTGACTGAGCCACCCAGAGACACCCCAACACTGTGAATGATCTTGCAACATGAATTGAAAGGGCGGGCCTATGCCGGCCGACTCCATCTTGTTCTGTGTCCTCCACCTTGAGTGACTATGTCCCCGACATGACCCCTTTTCGGGGAAAATTGCAGAAACCTCAGACCGCGCCTCCTCCCCTTGAGTAACCTCCCGCTCACCCGTTCAAACTTCCTGATCAAAACACGCCCAGCGACCTGCGTAACAGGACTCTGACCCTTCCCCAGCCAATCGGCCGAGGCCACGCCCCTTCCCCAGCCAATCGGCTGCCCCTAGACCCCTATAAAACCTTTGTGCTTTTGAAACTCGCTCTCTCTCCCTGGTATCTCACCACTGCGTCGGTGCAGGTAGGGGACTGAGCTCGAGCTAGCTCGAATAAAGGCTCTTTTGCTTTTGCATCGGACTCGGCTCCCTAGTGGTCTTTGGGGATCACGAATTCTGGGCATAACAGAATCACATAGTGGTTTTGCCCTTCTCCCTGAAGGCGTCCTTGGGGCACCTCTTCATCTTCTAGTCCCTCCTGGCATTTGAACTGTAGCACACTCTGTTAGGAACCCCCAACAGCGTGCATGGAATATTCCCAAAGCAAACACAGCAATATATATGTGGCTTCTGCACTCAGAGTTCATGCTTTGATGGTGGCAGACGGGGATGGACATCTAAACCAATAATAACAATGATAAAAACGCTCGTATCTCCTTTTACCATAAAACAGTTCTTTTTATTATTTTTTTAAATTTTTTTTAAATGTCTATTTATTTTTGAGAGAGAGAGAGAGACAGAGCATGAGCAGGAGAGGGGCAGAGAGAGAGGGAGACACAGATTCTGAAACAGGCTCCAGGCTCTGAGCTGTCAGCAGGGCCAGACGCAGGGCTCGAACCCACGAGCTGTGAGATCATGACCTGAGCCGAAGTCGGACACCCAACCGACAGAACCACCCAGGTGCCCCTACCAGAAAACAGTTCTTTTTTTTTTTTTTAATATTTATTTATTTTTGAGACAGAGACAGAGCGTGAGTGGGGGAGGGGCAGAGAGAGAGGGAGACACAGAATCTGAAACAGGCTCCAGGCTCTGAGCTGTCAGCCCAGAGCCCAACGCGGGGCTTGAACCCAAGAACTGTGAGATCATGACCTGAGCCGAAGTCAAATGCTGAACGGACTGAGCCACCCAGGCGCCCCATAAAACACTTCTTAATGAAGATGGCTCTAGAAAGCAAACTGAATAATATGTTTTGTAACCTATCTCCATGCTTTACATTTTCAGATACTTAATTAAAAGGCACAAAAAGAATGTACCTGGCTGTTAGGTGTTCATTGAACTCTTTTTTTTTTTTAAAGAAAATAGCTAAATTTTGGGGCTCTGGGTAGCCCATTCGGGTAAACATCTGACTTCGGCTCAAGTCATGATCTCACAGTTCAAGGGTTCGAGTTCCGTGTCGGGCTCTGTGCTGACAGCTCTGAGCCGGGAGCCTGCTTCAGATTCTGTGTTTCTCTCTCTCTCTAACCCTCCCCCCACTCATGCTCTGTCTTTTAGGGGCCCCTAGGTGGTTCAGTCAGTTGAGGGTCGGTCACGAGCTCAGGTCATGATCCCAGGGTCATAGGATCGAGCCCCACATCAGGCTCCTCGCTGATCGTGGACCAGCTTAAGATCCTCTAAATAAATAGTAATATTAATTGTATAATATACTGAAATTTTGGGTAACACCACATTTCTGAAATTTCTCTGAGGTGATAGGTAGGAACCAAGACCTCAGCTCAGGGGTTAATTTATGCTTGCTGCTTTCTTAGAACACAGCCTCAAAGTCTGGTTCCACAGAGACAGTGGGTTCCCCCAGGGAAAATGTCCTCTCCCTACCTACCCTAGACTAACTCTTCTCACAATTATCCCACATTTCTTCACAAAGCCTTTGGGATCAGTCATTAGAGGAAAAAACCGTTAACCGACATTGTTCTCAAGCAAAGGTTAGTTTGAAAGTTACTTGAAATATGAACATGTCATAGATATTCAAATGAAAGTCCACTGGGGAAACATTTATGGGCTCCACTATCAAAGAAACAGAATAATGATAGCAATAACAAAAGAAGCCTCTGAATTCTGTGTATTTCCCCAAGTATTATCTCCATCATTTCTCACGATGCATCTGAGAGGCACATATTTTTAACCTCATCTCACAGATGAGCCAACTGAGAGTTGACTCCCCAGTGAATGTTTTTCAGCAGGGATTCCTTTTCTCTCAGGAAGAATTCTTTCCCAGGAAGAGTTCCGGTCTCTTGTTTGAAAGAGACCTCTGGTGTTCTCACCACCATCCACACGGCCAATTCTCCAAATCCTATCTGAAGTAGACTGTGGATACACCTTGGGATGAAGCTGTGACTTTCCAAATGTCTATTTAGTCTATTAGGCTCCCAGTGGTAAGCAGGCTTTGTTTTCTTTGTTTTTGAAGCCCCATCAACTTCTTTTTTTTTTTTTAACGTTTATTTATTTTTGAGACAGAGAGAGACCGAGCATGAACGGGGGAGGGTCAGAGAGAGGGAGACACAGAATCTGAAACAGGCTCCAAGCTCTGAGCTGTCAGCACAGAGCCCAACGCAGGGCTTGAACTCACGGACCGCGAGATCACGACCTGAGCCAAAGTCGGCCGCTTAACCAACTGAGCCACCCAGGCGCCCCAAAGCCCCATCAACTTCTAAACACAGAGGTCATCTGAGACTTTGCACACGTTATTCAACGGCATGGCTTTTATGGATGCTATAGGTTTTCTATTCTTTTTTTTTTTTTAATTAACATTTATTTATTTTTAAGAGACAGAGACAGAGCACAAATGGGGAAGGGGCAGAGAGAGAAGGAGACACAGAATCCGAAGCAGACTCCAGGCTCTGGGCTGTCAGCACAGAGCCCAAGGCGGGACTCGAACCCACCAGCCGTGAGATCATGACCTGAGCCAAAGTCAGACACTCAACCGACTGAGCCACCCAGGCGCCCATATGTTTCTATTCTTAAAATTCACTACAGAGTTGTTGACCATTAAAAAGAAAAAAACAAAAGACAAAAACCAACCAACCAACCAACCAACAACAAAAAAAACACTATCCTCAAGGGTCTTAGATATCTAGAAAGTAAAGGTGGCAAAAAAATGAAGGTTGATAATTCTCTTCTCAGAACAAGTAAATAATGACAGCCTACGTGTGTAGTTTATAGACCTACCATACAGAATGGCTCATTTTTTACAGTCTCGCCTCTTATTCTAATTTTTTCAGTTGGTCAGAATAAATACAAGACATTATCTGCAGAGTATATTCATGTGAATAATGGATTACAACCCTTAATGAAATACCACATGCTAAAATTAATTAAAAGGATACCTTTTAGCACAAAACCTAAGGGGAAATGGAGAAAGAGAACACACTCCTATCTATTTTAGAGAGAAATTAGCTTTTCTCTTAAATATCACTCTGCGATACCTATATGGACCCTCAAGATGTGTGTTTTACTCTTTCAAATTAATAGTGTAAAAGGCAGTTCTGTATTTGTGGACAGTCTGTGCTCATGCTCAACGTCCAATGCACCAGCATGTGGTAAGTGTCCCAGGACTAACCCACCCTCCTTTATTATTATTATTATTTTATTTTGTTAACATTTATTCACCTTTGAGAGACAGAGAGAGACAGAGCGCAAGCACGGGAAGGGCAGAGAGAGAGGGAGACACAGAATCCGAAGCAGGCTCCAGGCTCCCAGCTGTCAGCACAGAGCCCGACAAGGGGCTCAAACCCACGAACCATGAGATCATGACCTGAGCTGAAGTCAGACACAACCTACTGAGCCCCCCAGATGCCCCTCCCCACCCTCCTTTCTTTTTTGTGTGTGGGCGGGGGGGGGGGGGGGGGGGGGGGGGGGGGGGAGGGCTAGAGTTTCATGGGACATGCCCCAGATGAGACTGAGCCTTCTCTCTGCTTCCAAAGGGAACTTGATGGTCTCCAGCCTGTTTCTCATCCCTGCATCCAGGGTCACTGGTTAACCTTACCCACCTTCTTCCTCCTTTACTCAGCACTGTCTTCTCTAGAACCCCTCCCTATATCCATAATATATTTTCTGAACAATCCTTCCAACTTCTCTTCTGGCCTCAAGCTTGGTTCTCACCTAAAATCAGCATCCCTGGCTGCTTACACGCTTATCCATGTACTACACGCCCAACAATGTACATCATTAATCACTCAGCATGTAAATCCTAAAAAGGAGGAGAACTAGACCAAGCATCCACCATATATGTGGTTGCTAAATAAACACAGCATTTCCATTTTACACGGGACTTAGGGTGTCCCTTTATGGTCCACAACACATGCTTGGTGCATAGTGGGGGGTCATTGGGTATTGGCTGAAGGAACGAATGAATGAATGCAACCCTTTCTGTTCACTCCGCAAAGTTGAATATCTCAAGCCACATGAGTAGAGACGAAAAGATGGATAGATAGGAAGAGTGAGGAAGCTACATAAAAAGGGACATGTGTGCAAAAAGGCCAGCTTACCACATAAAGGCTTTCGTGGAAATAGAGCCCCAGATCATAAAAATTTCCATCATGCCTCACTGGGTGTGTTCCGGTCTTCAGCTGCTCCGTTTGCTGCCACTGGAAGACACAGCCACCTGGTCGACCAAGCAGGGACACCCTGAGGCGGTAGGAGCCTCGGGGAGCCTTGTTCTTGAGGCCTCTTGCACATTTCATCCGTACTTGAAGATGCTGAGGCGCCTGGCCGCGCTCAACCTAAAGACAAGGCAGGTCTCCTGAAATACGCAGGAACTGGATGAAACCACACAATTAGCCACAATGCACTTCTTGGGGGTGGGGGGGAAATAGACAATTATTTTCGCTCAACCTGTAATTGTCAGGTATTAGCAATGATAACAGAGGAGGACACATGATATATAATTAGGAGGTCAAAAGGCAAGCCTGCCAATTACGCCAGGGGAAAGGTTAGCCAATTTTTAAGCATGGTATGTTAATGATCTGTGACATCAGAAACCATTCATCTATTATAATAAGATAGAATTAACAGGATACCAACACTTCTGAAAACCACACATCGTGCCTCTTTGAGGTATCTGGGAGGGTGAGTATGGGCCGTGAGTTTCAAACTCAAGAGTTTGGAAGGCAAAAACCCTTACCTCTGACACTAATCACAGACCACAGGACGCCGTAGGAGAGGAAAATGCTTTTTTCTCTACCCCTCCAGGTCTTTGCTGGACTGAAAATTAAGTTTACGTGAATAAATGAACTGGAGAAAGAAGCCAACGTTTTTTGACACGCACAAGGAGGCCCAGTAATGAAAATGAGACATAAAGAAATGACCAAGGAAAGCAGTTTTTAGACATGTTAGGAAGAAACAAAATAATGTTGCGAGAAAGAAACAGGATAAAGAAAACGGGTGTTTAAGAGTTTTAATTAGGAAGTAATTCCAAGCAAAATCTGGGCTGAGATTGTAGATCAGTAAAAAAAAAATAATAATAATAATAACAAGCTTTCTACAGCGTTCTTCGCTTGAAAGTTCCAATCTCTGGTGATAAGGATGTCTTTTCACTTCTTAGTAAAGGGAGGGTACCTTTCGTATGGGAGATTTATTTCCTATTTTCAGGGGGACGGAGGAGGATCTGAGTGGTCTTGCACTGGCTGTCTCTCACGTAGCTTCAATTCAAAATAGTCTGTGTGCCCTTGTGGTACGTTTGGGGCAGCCTGCCCTTGGTCCCTATACCACCTTGATGAGTCAAGTCCAAAGTAGGTCAGACAAACCCTTCACCTGATAAATACTTTTATTCAGTTTAAGCATGAGGTCAACTTACCCCATGGGCTTCCAAGGAGAGAAAAAAAACAACCTAAAGGACGGAGTAGCATTTGTGTGTGCTTTAACCTAAAACTTAGCATACATTGTATGTAACTAAAGAACAGGAGTCAAGAATATTTTATGGGGCATTTGAACTTCATTGCTTACCTTCCACTCACAGGAATAGGCCATTTTCATTTTTAGGAATAGGCCATTTTCATTTTTAGCGAGTGCTGGAAAGTTTATCCAAATGGATAAGATTTTTTTAATGGACTTGTTTCAGATTAAACAAAAATTAACCTGGGATTATTAATAACTCAAATGTCATTAAGTCATGTTTTCTATACTCACAAGTCCCAAATAGTCTTTGGAATCATTTGACCTCAAAGAATTCTCTATTACATTGTGCTTTAAGCAAAAAATAATGCCGTTCTTCGAAGCAGTTTACTGTACTCTCTTGGCTCCTGGAGTTAGTAGCTACCCATTAATCTGCAGCCAACGGTTAAGTACCTTTTAATCCTGCCTAGACTTTATTTTGTGAGCGATAATATATATTTCCATATAGATAGTATGCTTCTGGAATCAAATCACAGCTAAATAAACAGTGGAAGTTGCTAAACTTCTTTTGTTTTCTCACAGAAGTCATACTTAAAAACCAATCAGAATAACAATTATTTTTGGCTTAATTAGAAAATCTTAATTAACAATAAAGACTTAACCTTAATATGTTGGCTTCCAAAAATATTTTTTTTTAAAAATTAACGCCATGTGAATAAATAAGACAAGCTCTTTAAACCTCAAGGCAGGATTACTGATGCAGGCAGACCGAGTTATTAAACACATTCTAAATTAAACGCCTCTATGAATTTTATACTGAAATATATTGTGATAGTTTTGCATGCCAAATGTGACATTTTGTATTTTAGATCCATCTTCTGTAGTAATTTTGGAAATGTCATACAAACAAAGATTTTGTCATTTACCAATGGAATTACTATGCATGGCCGCTTAGTCATTTCTTTGCTGGCTCTTGTGGTTGTTTCAAGTCAGCAAGCCATAAAAAATCTTTATCTCTCTGAAACACAGCAATTTGGAAGATAATCGAATGGTGACTAGGGGGCAGAAATGCCAGTCTGAGGAATTATACCACAATCTCTCTTGCATTTACAACCTTCCTCAAAGCGAGTGTCAGATGAGTAGGGACAGAAGACAGAAGATTCATCAAATCTCAAACCTGTCTCATTTGCATGGAGACAGTCCCGCCTCATTGTCTAGTGGGAACCCAGCCTGGCACTGTGCACACCATTCTTGAGGAATTCCCAATGCTTTACAGTCGAGAATTTTAGCCCTTCTATTTGAGCGTAGAATTCTCCTCAAAGATATTTACCAAGACCTGTTGAAACTCTGTTTCTCTAGAGGGTCCCAGCAGGAGGAAAAGCCAACCAGGACAGCGAGCCAAGAACCTTTGATCTCATCATTTCACATTTTTGCATCCGAGAAAAAGTCAGTCATGAGAGTCTCACCTTCCAGCAAGGTCCTGCTGCTGCTGCCTTTGATTCGTGAGTTACGTCTGTGAGAGTACAGAGCTCGGCCGGTCTGTTTTCTTTCCAGACATCTCGATGTGCAATTAATGGTTGACTTGGCACTCTGCAGCGGGTACAAGAGGAGGAGAGATAAAAGGAAGAGAAATTGACAATGGGGATAATGAAAAGGTTTGCCTTTGGAACCACAACACAATTTGATGTTTTCCTCAAACATTGTGTCAGATTAACGGAGAATTAGATAAATACCACACAACTACCGTTGATTAAAGTTGGGGAGATGAGTAGCTTTTGAAATGTGATCTCTATAAAATTCAAGACTCCCTGTAGTCAATACTGATCTCCCAGTAATTAAAATGTGGCTCGTTTCAGAAATTACCGAAGATCAAATATTTGGTAAGACATTTTGCCACTTCATTTTCAGCCCCCCACTCCTTCAATCTTATAAACTGATGAAGAAACTTGGAAATAGAGGAATCGTTCAAATAGCTGAATAGCTGATATGACATAAACTTTTTATTTTTGTAATGCAATGGCCAGAAATCAAGATCTATTTCTACCTTCAAAAATGTTCCCCAGGCTTTTTTTTTTTTCCTCCTGTTAACATTTACTGCCTTTATTTGAGGTTCTTTTTTATGACTCACTTATTTATTTATTTATGCATTCATTCATTTATTCATTCATTCATTTATTTATTTATTTAATTTTGATTTTCTAACATTTGCCTGCGTTCCCAAATTCATTTGAATTAAGAAGGATCTTGTATTTCATTTCTCCTAACTTAAGCTTAATTCCATCAGCAGAGCCATCTGTGACAATGACTGTACCCCCACCAGAGGAATGGCCTTTTTGGATCTCACAGCTGATTTAGTTTCTTGTGATAGAAATGATTTCCCTTAATTTGGTTAGAGCTCCATTGACACAAGGGTTCATTAGGACACCATTTGCTGGCAATTCAATTTCAAATTAAATACACTTTGTTGTAAATTTTATTACTTTTAAACTACTGTATCTATTGTCTTTAATGGCCCTATTATACAGTTATGAAGGTAAACAGATTTCATTAGTAAACATCAAACATGATGTGTTAACCACAGTGAGATGGTTTCCTCAGTTTCTTTCTTTGTTCTTTTGATAAGCATTGTAAGGCACTCATGAAATATCTTAAAAACTTAATCTAAATAATTAGATGCTGAATTCATGATTATCATCCTAAAGGTGGGGGGAAGGTCCTTAGTTACAATCCTAGTTCTTTGTAATTAAAGGTTTCCTAAGAATACCTCCCTTAGTTAAAAAGAAACACAATGCACATCAAAAGGTTAATACACAGTTTTAACACCTTATCAGGTACGGAGAGGTAAGTCTAGAGATTGGTGTCCCCTTGGAGTGAGTAGTCAGACCCTAGACCAGGAACCAGACCAGACATGAGCTCATTTTGAATTAGGTCCTGTGGCATATTATTACTCTCTGTTTCCCCTCATATACAATACTTATTACTTTTGTGATTATAGAAATATATGCTTATGTTTGCACATTATGCAAAATTTAATTGTATAAAAAGCCCCACAACAGTCATCCATTAGTCCACGACCCTGATATAAACACTGATGAAATATTGAGGTCCGTTCCTCATAGCCAGGTAGCAAAATATACCTTTTTATGCTTTACAAAATAAGACTGATGATGTAAATACTATTTTGTAACCCATATTTACCACTTTGTACATTATAGGCATTTTCCATGTGACTCGATTTTTTTCCCCATGGCATAATCTCTTATTGTTGGATAGTTAGGTTTGTTCCAACTCTCACTATTGTAAATGAGTCTGTAATTAACTCCCTTGCGTATAATGTCCTGCAGACATCCCTGGCCATTTTCCTGGTCTGAAGTCCTAACACAGAAAAGTTGGGCGCTGGGAACATGCTACCCTATACCTCCGTGATACCACCTTGAGCACTGAATGACATCTCAGCAAAATACAATCTTGCCTGCTTGGCATGTTCCCTGAGGCACTGAATTGTCTTCACAGAGAGACAGGCCCCACTCCAGCTGATACCTTATTTTCTCTGCTAGTCAGATTAGAAATTAAGTAAAATTACAATGAGCAAACCGCATTGATATATACAACAGGATTTCTCAACCTCTGCACTATTGACATTTTGAACCCCATAATCCTTTGTTGTAGAGGCTGGCCTGTGCATTGTAGAATGTTTAGCAAGATCCCTGGCCCCCGACCACCAGATGCCATTAACAGACCCTTCCCTAGTCCCAGTCATGATAATAATAATAAAAAAAAATGTCTCCAGGGGCGCCTGGGTGGCTCAGTCGGTTGAGCGTCCAACTTCAGCTCAGGTCATGATCTCACAGTCCGTGAGTTCGAGCCCGGCGTTGGGCTCTGTGCTGACAGCTCAGAGCGTGGAGCCTGCTTTGGATTCTATGTCTCCCTCTCTCTCTGCCCCTCCCCTGCTCATGCTCTGTCTCTCTCTGTCTCAAAAATAAATAAAAACATTTTTTTTTTTAAAAAGTCTCCGGACATTGCCAAATGTCTCTTGAGGCCAAAACTGATCCATGTTGAGAACCCCTGATATACAGTATTAACTAACACTTATGGGATGCCTACCATGTTCAAGGTACTCTTTTGAAAACATTATATCTATTATTTCATTTAACCCTTCAGATAATCCAATGAGGTATTATTATTTCTACTTCACTGATGAACCGATGCTGGGGAATGTTGACCATCTTATTTGAGGTCACATGGTCATAAGGCATAAAAGCCTGAGATTCAAAGGGAGACCATCTACCTTGAGAGCCCCTCTGAACCCACACCCACCACTACTGCACTTCCTCTCCTGGCACAGAGAAACAGCAGGTGCCACAGCCTGATCTTGGAAGCTCCTACACTGGACGAAGAATTTAGATACTTCCTGAGAGGTAAGTAAGGGGTGGTTCCAAGCTATACTTCCATTACTATGATGGCCCCATCCCCAACAGTCATATAGGAATGGAAGGGCACAGATAAATCTCAAGAGGAAGGGAGGTCATGTCTCCCACAAACCTGATCCTTAAGGTGAATCAAACTCGGGCTGCTTGGTACCTATAATTGCCCCATATTTAACCTAGAGAGAAACAAACAAAATAAAATAAAATGCATTCAATCCACCATGAAGGAACGTACTTGTCAAATGTTTTGTCAGTGTTTAAACATGACATAGGAATGTACTGACTGAGTCCTTCCCCTCCACATTTCAGGTCCTGCATGGAAGAAAAAAGAAATGAAATATAATTGGTCAAAAAAACACTTGAAGCATTATATGTAGAAGTTGGTTTTTCTAAGACCTGGATATGCTACTATAAGGGTTGAGGTTCCAGGAGACAAATGAGAACATGGGACTTACACCTTTTGCAGCCACCTTTTATAGACTATGACTTTCCTAACTCTGCTTAGTTACTTTTGGCCAGGAAGGTGGAGAGAATTATAAAAACATTTTAAAAGGAGGAGAAATAATTGAGAGATGCAAAGGCAGCTTTTTTTAATGTTTATTTATTTTTGAGAGAGACAGTGCAAATGGGAGAAGGGCAGAGAGAGAGGGAGACACAGAATGTGAAGCAGGCTCCAGGTTCTGAGCCATCAGAACAGAGCCCGATGCAGGGAATGAACTCACGAACTGCAAGATCGTGAACTGAGCTGAAGTCAGACGATTAACCAACTGAGCCACCCACATGCCCTGAAAAACCAGCTTTCTTTGTCTCTGCTTCTCTCTCTCTCTCTCTCTCTCTCTCTCTCACACACACACACACACACACGCACACACACACGTGCCTGCATACACACCACACAATGGTACGGTTTAACAAAATGTAAATGGACATATGGCTGAATGTGTAGGATGCTAGAGATGTTAATAATAATTGTGATCGTGTAATTTATCATCCAATCCAGAACACTTGGGTAGTCAATGAGGAAACAATTATTCTAGGACAAACAGGCATAACTCAGGATTGCGCCATGCAAAATATAACACGCAGCAACCCTTCTAAGAATACTGATCCAGATGTTCTGAAAGGGTATCATATGGACAAATATCAACATATTTAGTGAAAGTGAATGATGAGGAAATGAAAGAGGGAGAAAGATCTCAGAATGGAAGCTGCTGTCCTTTGTAACCTAACCTTGGAAATGACAGAGCAGCACTTCTGCTACAGCCTATTGGCCACACAGATGAATCCTGATACCGTGCGGGATGGAACTATGAAAAGGTGCTAAGAGGAGGCCAGGATCCTGAGTCCCCAACAATGATGAAATCCAAACAAGCAAATGTTGGCAGTTCCTTGATTAAGTCTCAAGGTTGGAATGCTTCTCTATGGCTCTCAGCTCTGTCCTCTAGATGCCTGGTTCCACTCTTTGGATCTTCCCTGCTTTTTTTTTTTTTAATGAAAGGTAACCCACGTTTGCAGCTACATAGTGTTCTCAACCTGTTTTCTGCCAATAGAATTTGGGAGTCCAAAGACATCTTTATTTTGTTCTCTCTCAGTCTCTTTCTTTTTTTAAAATGTTTATTTATTTTTGAGGGGGGGGTGGCACACAAGCTGGAGAGGGGCACAGAGAAAGGAACAGAAGATCCAAAGCAGGCTCTGTACTGACAGCAGAGAGCCCGACGCAGGGCCCGAACTCACAAACCATGAGATCATGACCTGAGCTGAAGTCAGACACTTAACTGACTGAGCCACCCAGGTGCCTCTCTCTCGGTCTCTTTCAATCCAAGCAGGTGCTTTGTCTGCTTATCTAATTCCATTTAAAACTGTGTAGGTCTTCAGTGAATCTTGGTGGAGTCCAACTTGGTTAGACAAAAACCATACCCACAAATCTCTTCAAGAGAAGACCTTCCCTACCACACGTTTCCACTGAAAGGATGCCATGTCATATATTGTGATTCTAGTAAGTAAATCTTCTAGTAAGTAAATCTTCTCAAGTTTATCACATAGTAATTAGAAGGAGTTTCATAATAGCAATGCTAATGTGCATTTATTGAGCATTGATACTCATTGCACTAGGCCCTGTACTTTGTTCAGCCTCTTATTCTACAGATATTTATTATGGTTTTGCTTTATGCCAGACACTGTGCTAGAAGCCAGAAATACAGTGGTATACAAATATATACATTGTACTTGACATT